TGTTCTGTAGGAAGGAACTAATCTGTAAACTTTAGGAAAAGCTTAGCAGCAGGTCTGCCTGCATGCTGCCGGAGCATGTGGAGCAGGCTGCAGATATTCAGAGCAGTGAGGGGGGAGGCGTGAAATGCAGGAGATGCCAGTTTGGGAGGGCAGCAGTGGGCTCCCATGCAGACTGATTAAACATGGGTATGGATTGTGTTCAGACAGATTTGACCAGCATGAATTTGGGGTGGAATCAATCGTTCAGAGGGTGAAGCTGTCTCGGCTCTGTATGACAGGGGAGATGGTGGCAAATACTTTGCTTGGAAAACCTGGAGGGTTTGCCTGTGGCACACCAAGTGATGTTGAGGTAGCTGAGGCTGGAGAAGCCCCCACTGCAAAGGACTCCCTAAAACCGAGTGAACAGGCAGAACAGTGGTAGCTGTGCTTAGCTAAGCATAGGTAATGTGTATGATAATGATCTGAACAACATTAGCATGTTGATGAGCTCTGATTTAACTCCAGACGGTCAGGAAAGAGATGTCAGGGACAGCTCACTTGCCCAACTGTTGACTGGGTTGTGGTGGTCAAAACAGTCAGTGCAATTTGCCGTACAAGAAAATAATGCTTTGGAGTGGCAGCTCCTTCTACGCAAATCAAATTGCATCTTCAGCAAGAACAGTGTGATTTGTTCTGCTTATTTTGTCTCAAAAGCAGAAGAGAAAATGAGGTTATCAGCTGCAGTTGGCTAAAAATGAGATTTATTTTTGAAAAGAGAATTCAGCAATTGAGAGGAAACGGATTTTTTTATTATTATTATTATTGGGAGGTTTAAAACGGCAGCTATTAGAAACTTTCCTGCGGTTTGGAATGCTAACTCACTTCCAGGGAAAATGGATTACAGACAGAGGGCAAGCAAGCTGTGAAAGTTTGGGGATGCATCTACTTATTACAGGAATAATTCCCTCCAGAGCAGTGTGGATTTTTACACTTACATGATTGCAGACAAAGCTTACACACGTGTTTAACAGATTAGCCACGGATTGATCTCGCAGAGTTTTTAAGTGCACTGGGTCTGATCTTATAAGGCATTTTAAGTAAATGCTTAACCTCAAACTTCTTTGAAGCCTCAGTGGCATCGTGACAACTGTTCTTTTGTTTTTAGGATTAAGATCAGTATTGGTAAATCTGCATTCTCTTTCCATACAGTGTTTTGCAGTTAATCTCTAAATTGAAAACACGTGCTAAGTCTAACCGCTTAATTGCACATAGATTTGAAGTTGCTGATGAAGAAGAGCCTTCTTTGGAAAATGGCAAAGCTTGCCTTACACAGCTAGTAAACTATGTTAAGCCTGTATCGACTTTGATGATACAAATTTGATCCAGAACTACTGAGTGCCCCAAATACTCCTGCAGTTGCTGTTGGATCAAATATTTACTTTTCTTTTATTTTCTTTTCTTTCTTTTTTTCTTTTTTGTTGTTTGGGGTTTTTTTTTTTTGGTTTTGTTAAAGCAGAGCCATTGCTCTGCGGAGTGAGTAGTTGCCAGGCTCAGTCCCAGGGGAGGCTGTGAAACTCCTCCTGAAGGACACACCAAGTGTAGCTCACCCAGGTTTTGCACACACCAGGTCTCCTGGCATCTTTCAGACCTCCCTGCAGCCTGTTCCTCCCTGTTGGAGCTCCCTCCACCCCATCTCCTGATGCCCTGCTTTCCCATATCTATTGTTTGGGCATCTTCCCTCTCCATTTCTCTTCAGTCCTGCCTCCTGCCATCATTACCCTGTTCTTTTCATGTGTTTCATCTCCGCTCTTCTATCCTCATCTCTCTGGGAAGAAAAACGTGCCAAGTATCAACTTTTTACCTTTGAAGGCAGTACAGAGGAGAGATGCGGGAAGGCATCGTGTGGCCTGCAGGTTCCTGATCCCTGCACCACCGTAGGAGCTGCTGGGGCTGCTGCTCTGGGAAATAGCTGCTGTGACCTCTCTGCATCATCCTTTCTCCACCTGTCATCTTTTTCCCCACTGTAACCAAAGTCAGTGACTTTCTTGCCTTTTCACACCTAAAATGAAGAGTTAGTCCCACGTATTGTGTAGAAGTTAATAACATTTCAGGCAAAAAGCAAACTGCTGCTGAGCTGTAGACAAAGTTTTCTGTTTTCGGTGTACCACAGGAGATCTGGTTTTATGCATATTTTACAAAATATTTCTGGCAACTGCCAGCAAAGACATCTGTGTATTTTGTTTAGTGAGAGAACAACCTTTGCTCCACTCCTCTTTGGGGTTCCCATCACCTCCTCCCCTTCCTCATGGCAATGGCAGATGCAGCCTGAACTCTCACTGTCTATATGCTCCTATTTTAAACCCGAGTACAACGTGCTGAGCAAAACAGGATTTTTTTTTGAGGAATGGGAACAGAGTTTAACAACAAAGGTGTCTTGGCAAGATGCTACATACGATGACTAACATTCTGTTTTAACACCTCGTCGGTTTTCACAGCATCCATCGTAAAGACATTTTCATCGTAGTGTGAAACCAACACTTACCTCGGCATATTTTCTTCATGCAGTCTTTGGTTTTAGTCAATTTGTCTCTGGTTACTCTGACCAGAGGTATCGGGAGGTTGAGTGGCTAGGGCGTTGATGGGGAGGGCAGGGAGTCGAGTCTGTGCTTTGAGAAGGACTTCCATGTGAGCCCCGGCAGGATGGAGGAGCGTCTTTGCACCTTGGCTGCCTGCTTGTAATGGGGGACGAATATCACTTCCCTACATCAGACACACACACACACACTGGATTGATAAATGTGTTGTACATTACAAAATACAGACACTGTGTTCATGGAGGCTGAGTAAGTGCCTGAGATGTGTTGGAGGCCTTTAAATGAGAAGGGAGCTACAGAATAGCAAAAAGTATGCAAACCCCCCGTTTTTGTATTTTGCATGCAAGTCAGTTACAAAATTTAAAGCATAATCTGCTAGTTGAGCAGCTAACAAGTTTATTTTGGAAGCTCTTTGACTTCTTTCACCTAAATTAAAACTGTTACAAAACTGAAGATCTCGATGATCTTAAATGGAAACCCTATGGCATGAGCTAAATTCTGGTAGAGGTAAGGGGGAAAACAGAGCAAACTCAGAAGTTTAGAGTACTTCTGCCTTGGTGCTTAGTTTCTTGATGGTCAGAAGGCCTAGTAATTGACCGGCAAGTAATTCAGATTCAGAGGATCATTGTGGTGTGAGGTATTGGTACAAATTACTAGAGAGCATCCTTCCTTAGTCTGCTGTAACTCTAGTGATTCTGGGGCAGATGTTACGGTCGCCTTGCAAAGGTTACACATGTACGCTTGGGAGACACATTCGCAGTTGCGCACTGATTTACAAGCTGCCAGGACAAAGCCTGATTTCTTGAGCAGAGCGCTAAGGTGAGGTCAAATACTTTGTACCCCTCTTGTTTGCTTTGCATCTAATCTTTAAGTGGTGCCAGTGGGCATTTTATTCCTCTGGTTTCAAACAAGGCAGTTTCTCCTGTCACCCAAAGTCAGGCATGTAACTTAGAAAAAGAGTTTTAGCTGGCAGGTTTCCTGAGGCGTCCTCTGCAATCGGGGGAGACAGGCTGTTTGAAAGGGAGATTCAAAGTGGGAGCCTGAGGTTTGCAGTTCCTACGTGGGGGTGGCCTCTCACGGCAGGGTTGTGCTGCAGGCTCACCAGGGCAGGAGGATCAGTCATCCGGTTTCTTTTAATCACGTATTCAGAGGAAAATCAAGGCCTCTTGGAGTTGGTGGGAGCCCCTGTACTGGGCACGCTGGATTTCAGAGCAGCTTCTCAGACTCCTCTACATGATTTATGCAATGATGGGAATGAGAATTTCTTTTCTGAGCTGAGATCTGATTGTGGTGTCCATCACAAAGTGCTTTGAGACAGCTTTGAATATGGATAGAGTAAAATCCTTCTCACTGCTCAAGAGCATTGAAGTTATTATGAAGAAAGAAAGTTGCTGATTCCTCTGAACTCTCTGATAGCATTAACATGTATTCTTGTTTCTCTTTAGCCTCAGGCAGCTTTATAAAGAGATGCATTTAGAGTGCAGACATTCACCCATACCCAGTAAAAATGTGCCTGATGTAAAAGGATGTCTCTTACTGTGTGTTTTAGAAAAAATTGTTTGACTTGCAAGAAGCATAATGCACATTTTGTGGATTGTATGTTGATTTTTTTTCTCTTGCTGAATGTCTTGGGGTATTTGTCTCTTTGCAAGTATGGCTTAGCATAGTACATCATTGAGCACAAATTTTGTTAACAAAATGCTGAATGCACAGTAAGTGAATTTTGCAGAATTGGGTCACCAAAAGGTTCTTCCTTTCTCATCTTTAAGCCTCTGAACAATTCTTGTCCTGAACAGTGGTTGTGTATCCTTTGTTGACAGTTTGATTTTTCACCCTTTGGGGGCTGAAGAATGCTTTAAATCTGTTCTTGAACTGTGCAGACTAAAAATACTCCTTAAGTGTGGTGGTAATGTTGAATGGTGCTTACGGTACGATAGCTGACAACACAGTATTTGCTGTCTTTCTCAGACTAATGGACATATATCTGGGAATGGAGATGTGTATCAAGAAAGGCTGGCTCGTCTGGAAAATGATAAGGAATCTCTTGTTCTACAAGTGAGTAGTCACCTAAATTATTTTTTTCTGCTCTCGCATTCGTAAGACTTTTTGATAGTATGTGATAAAGCCTCTGAGGATTTATTTGCAGTTGTGTCATCTTGGACAGTGTTCAGAAGGCTTGCTGATACCTGAGGGTTAACACAGATTAAGGATAGGTGTGAATTCAGATTGCAGGAAAAATCTAGAGAGCTTTCTTTCTGTGTATCTGATTTTTTGATTCTTGTTAGGTGAGCAGGTCTGCAGGGTGACCACCTTCTTACATGCATGTGTATCCTTAAGATCACCATTTTCTGTGACCATTCCCATGCTGTCCACATCAGGTGACAGATGTCTTGTTTTCCTGAAAGGCGACAAAAGCTGCAGGACTGGCCAACAGGTGGGAGGAGATGAGCAGCTCCTCAGAGGTCCTGCTCATCTGCTGATGGGCTGGGCTGGGTCAGCCCTGAGTGCTCTTGCCAGCTGGCTTACTCTTGCCATCAGTTGGGACTAGCTGGCACCCCTTGGTCTGCGTAGTCATCCCGCAGTCCCCTGACACGGACCTGGCCTAAGAGCTGTGAAAGCGCTGAGCTCTGCTCTAGGCAGCTTGCCCTCTTTCCCAGCGGTACTGCAGATTTCCTCAGAAGAGCGTGCTTAAAGCAAAAACTTAATTCAGAAAAGGCAAAACGGGAATCAGTCTGCAGTCTGAAAGGTGTTGTCTTGGTCTTGCCTAGCCTCAGTCTGTGTGTTTTAACCTCCTTTGCTTTTATTGTTCTGAAAAGGAGAAGCTGTACGCTATGGTACACTGTGTGCAATCACTTGGAACGCAGAATAAATTGTATGCAGTGAGGTTTAGCTATTTGGTTGTTAAAGTAGAAGCTAGTGGGTTTTAGTTAATGTATTGTCACAGCAAAGGCATAAATGTTGGCTGTCAAATGCAGCAGCCACCCCTTGAGAAAACTTCTAAGATGACTCAGGAGGGGAGCTACTGGATTGCATTGCATCTGCCAGAACTTTGGCTGAAATTCCAGTACGCTTGAGGAGAGAGCTTTCCCTCCTCTCTTGTTACCTTTGTCATGTGTTATGTCCACTGCAGAGCTCTGCTGCTTTTCCTCCTCCCGCCATTGTCCCATTTCATTTGTGGCCCAGCCAGCATTGTTACTCACATAATACAGTTCTTCAGGTGACACGTATGGCATGGGTGCAAGGTACTAAATATGCATTCCTTTTTCTCTGCTGTGCAGGTAAGTGTGCTTACGGACCAGGTGGAAGCCCAAGGAGAAAAGATTCGGGATCTGGAGTTCTGTCTAGAGGAGCACAGGGAGAAGCTGAATGCCACGGAAGAGATGCTGCAGCAGGTATTTCACAGGCACATGTCTGTCTTGCTATCTTCATTCTGTCTTAATGAACTGCATTTTGCTTCGGTGGGAGCAGTGCACTTCGAGGTGTCACACCCCTTGATGTCTCTTAACTAAGTGATAATTTTCTACCGTATTTGCTTTAAAGTCTTTGTACTTGGTGATGTCAGTGCTGCTTTACACTGTAGGAATCCAGTCCTGCTCTCCTTTGAGCCTT